CCCGCCGCCGGAGCCCCTCCGCGGCTTTGAAAGCCTCGGGGGAAGCCGGCGGGGGGGCACCCCAGGCGCTCCTGGCGGCTTTGCTCCCGGTGCCTCTGGTCTGCTGGGGACCATCTCCAGCAGACCAGGGACACCGGGAGCAAAGGAGGCGGAAGGGCGCTGGGGTATAAGATGAAACCCTATCTTTTAATTAAAAAGATAGGGGGTCGTCTTATACGCCCAGTCGCCCTATACGCCGGAAAATACGGTATGTGAAAGTTGAATATCCCATGATAGATAAGAATAGTGCCCGGTTAAGAGATTATATAATATAATAATAACAACACCTCAAAACTCCGTTTTAAGACACGGACTTCTATAGCATATGTTCTGTTATGATGGATTTTTCATCTGACAGGTTTCAGCAGATAATGAAGGCACTCAGGTCTGGTCTACACTACATCAGGCAGGTGGGCTTAAGGTACACCATTCATCTTATTTTAAGATTAGCCATCACGGCCTCTATACTGTGGGAGGCTGATAGGAGCACACATGCCCATTGGCTTCCCTTACTCCTCATAGAATGAGGAACACAAGTCCAGCAGGGGCTGCCCTCAGCATTCCATTTGGGAGTCTACACTAGATCTGCTAAATCAAATGCTAGTAGATCAACCTCTGGAGGTCAATCTTCTCTGTATTATAGACAAGGCCTCAATAAACAATCTAAATTCCAATCAACTAAAGCCTTATTGACAGAATATTTCACAGTTACCTTAAAACTTACCAAAACTTTTATAAAAATCCCTTTTTCTACATCCTGGTGAGTCTACATCAAGAATTTTTAAAAAGGACAAGGAAAAGCAGACAAAGGACAACAACCTTCTGAAAATCTCATGATTTCATGAATATGGTCAGACACATTGGTGCCTGTTTTGTTTGTGGTTTGTGTTGGTTGAACTGGTGAGCTGTTCTTCAACAGATCTTCTGTAAATGTATATTGCATTCCTCTAAAAAAAGCAATACAAACATTACATTTAAAGCATGGAAATTCACTTTATACCACAGTTTGAAATGAGAAAAAAGAAAGAAAAGGAAAGATAAGAATGGGATTTGGATGGGTGATAAATATGTTTGGGAGAAGCATATTGACAAATATCACTATATTCACATTGCCACCCTTACTTTTGTGCTGCTGCTGGTATGGTGCTGTCTTCAGAGCTGGGCACCCAGCCAGCAGCTGCTGCTTTCTACTCTACTTCAAAACTGGGTGAAAGTATATGTTCTTGTGGATTATGCCCCTCCCCACTACAAACACAAAGAAGGGGGTCTTGATCAAATAAGTTTGAGAACCCCAGAGGCTCTGTTCCTCTTGTAGTTCCAGTGTAGTAGAAAGTGTGTGTGTGTGTGTGTTTTTAGTCACAGCTTCTAGCTAATAGATTTCAGCTGTTAGCACCATTGAGAATTTCTTCCATGAGTAGATATTCCATGGTTAGACAATAGTCTAACAAATTCCTGAATAATTCCTAAAAAGACTACTTTTTTCAATGCTGCCACATGTTAGTTGAGGTTCCCCTAAATAAATGTATTTACTATTAGACTTGTTAAAAAAGATTAAATGTTTTTGTGAGCAATTTATCTTGGAAAACATTAACTAGAAAGGGTGAATCCACAACACTGAGCATCATGGTGCCTATCTTTAAGACTCTTAGAAAATCACAGGAACAAACCTTCATTTTTGTTCTGCATTTTTGTGTTGGGGTTACTGTGCAAATGCTAATTAAGGCTGCTGGAAGCCTGGAGGTGGCTGGAGTTAGCTGTCAGTTGTTGCGGTCAGAGCTGCTGGACCAGTGCTGTGTCAATATGCAGATACTCAACCTGGGACCTGCATGCTCTTTGTGAACTACAATGGCAAAGCATAGTAAGGTAAGTGGTAACACAGTCTCTCACTGGTCTGGATAACTCTGGAATGTCATAAGTCCTTCAGCTTCCCTCCAGTATGCTGATAGCCAGTGGAATAAAAGCAAATGGTGGAGAGGTGAGGCTCTTCCAGCAGAGTGGAGAAAAAAGTAGAGTGGAGAGACCAGTTTCATAGGATTGAACAGAGGAAGTATGAAGCAACGTTAGGGAGGAAGGGCTGATTGGAGACAAGAATCACCTATAGGCTCAAGGGGGACAAAGAGAGCCCCCCATTGAGCCATTCTTCACCATCATCTTCTGAGCAGGAGGATGAAAATAATTTCCCCCTACATTGTGTAAGCTACCACTCTGGCCAAGGGCACCACTACTCACATTAACACCAGCATATAAATTACAGTGTGGGGGTTGGTGATCACCAAGACACAATAGACACTGTACCTCTTGGTCAGGGATTAAAAAGGGGCCTGGCCACTACATGGAGAAGATGGCTGTGGTCACTTGAGCATACTTCTTGAGGGCTGAAGTGTGGGTGTCCCCAGAACTGGTGGAAGAAAGGAAGTAAAAGACAGACAGACTAGTTTGGAACTGAACCACTGCCTAGATAAATGGTGTGAGGAGAAGAGTTTTGTGGAAGATCAGTCTAACTTCAGACTGCAAGCTTCTTTCCAAAGAAGCTTTTTTGGAAGAGATCTTCTAAAAAAAACTTCTTCCAAAAGAGAGCATCCACACTGCCAAAGCTCAACAAAAAAGCAATCTGCTTCTCTGAAAGATAGCGTCCATTCTGTGTGAATGCTATATCACCGTGGTCCCCAACACGGCGCCCGCGGGGGCATTTCCATGCGCCTGCCAGGTGCTTGGGGCTGGCCTGGCCCCGGGCGCTGGGCGGGGGGAGCGCCGGCCCCGGGTGCGCGGCAAGAGAGCATCCACACTGCCAAAGCTCAACAAAAAAGCAATCTGCTTCTCTGAAAGATAGCGTCCATTCTGTGTGAATGCTATATCACCGTGGTCCCCAACACGGCGCCCGCGGGGGCATTTCCATGCGCCTGCCAGGTGCTTGGGGCTGGCCTGGCCCCGGGCGCTGGGCGGGGGGAGCGCCGGCCCCGGGTGCGCGGC